AAGCAAGTTGTTTTTTTCATTTACAAAAGTGGGATTCATGCTGTTTAAGGAATGTACTGTGTTTCTCTAATCCCAGGCCTAAGTCAGAGGCAGCAAGTGAAAGACATTTTCTTCTTTCAGAAAGAAGCTATTGTATTCATATAATTGCAATACGTTTTTGTAATGACTGTCTAGCAAAATTATGTGCATTTGCTAAGCACCTTGTACTGCTTGAAGTGTGGAGTTATTTTTGCTAGCATAAATCCTGAAGTAAAGTTATTATTGCCAGCATACCCAAGCATTCAAACTGAAAGATTGTTTCAGAAAGAGATTTATTTTTATGTAAAGTCCAGATCCTACATTCCATTCATGCCTCACGCTTACTGAAGCTAATGGGACTTAAGAAAGAACATTTGAAGAACAGGCCTAGATAAGTCTTTCCAGCTACCAACTGCAGCATATTATGATGCATACATATGGAAATAGGATCTTCCATCTACTTACTCAGACTTTAACTCAAACACTGCGTTCAGTTTCTGAGTACTGGTTAGCAATCACTTCTTTAACGTATAATAAAGCCAGTTCAGTTAATAGCTTGCAACACCCCCTCTGTTGCAGTTGTTGCACAGAACAGAGGTCTGATGAATTCTATTCAGAAGAATAATACAAAAACAAGAGCTTCAGCTCTGATGTCATCACTGTGTTCTTTCACTGGCTTCCTAGAGGCACATCTGCAAATGACAATGAGGAACACATCTTCTTATAGTAATGGAAGAACTACCTTTGCATGTCAAGAGATATCACTGTACCTTCTGGAAATCCTAAGGTACATTGCAATCAACTTAGGTGGCCTCTGCAGCCTGGTATTGATTAAGGACAAACTCCCTGTCATTCAGAAAACAAAAACATCTGTTATAGGGCCTTACAGATAGAATTGAACAACTTGATTTAACTTCAGAATTAGCCCTACTTGAAGCAGATGGTTGGAGCAGCTGACCTCCAAAGGTCCCTTCCAACCCATTTAAATTATTCGATGATCCTGATCTATTTTGTTGGTTTTAGACAGAATAAAATGGTTCAAATTCAATTTCTCAGGTAACAAAGGGACCAATGAAAATAAAGAAACAATCTAAAATAACCTTAGGAACATATTTATGTTTCTTTAAGTGGTATAAGAAATCCACACAGGTCTTTCCTTCTGTTTCTGTAATCTGTGGTGTGCTATGATGCTACAATGTTGGGAGGCAGTAAAAAACTGTTCTATAGAGCCACCTTGGTTTGGGAGAAAATAATAAAAATAAAAATAAAAATAAAAATAAAAATAAAAATCTCAGGTCATCATAGAAAGGTATGTGCACCAAATTCAGAAAATAAATAAAACTACTCTTATTAAATGAAAGACTGCTATTTTAGTAGCTGTTAAAGTTTTCATTTCAGCTAAAGAAACTCTATATCAATATAACATACTGGTTTAAAAGTCTTCATCTTAATAAAATCCAAAATCTATATAATGTATTTATTTCATTACCACTGCAGCCACCTCTTGTTAGGACCAGAACGTACAAAAACACTTTGAAAACAAAACCAAACTATCAAAGCAGAGATTGCTACAACCAATTGAAATTTTGCTCAATTTACGTATGTCCAGCATGTGCAAGCTTGTGAATTTTATTTCTTCAATTATTTTTTACCTTATGGGACCTCTCACCATTATCAACATTCTTATTTCACATGGTTTCATATCAGTTTCTTAATTTTTATTTGTTTTTAATCACACATCCTGATTTTGGACTATAGAACAGCTGCGCTCCACCACCAAACAAGTGCTGGTTTTAATAGCAGGCAAAAAATAACTGGAGCAATCAACAGGGCCTCCTGTTTTCACTTCACTATGTAGCAGACAAAGAGGACAATTCTCTGTCAGGAAGGATGTGAACTCTGATTGCCTATCTGCAATGAAAATAGCCTAGACATCAGGCAATTGACTAAGGTAAATTTTCTCTCAGTATTTCCTATCGCAGTTGCTGCACTTTTAGACCTCTTATAACTCCCTAAACATGACTTGAGACAGTGAAGTTCATAAAGCAGAAAGATGTGTGGGTACATTTCCCAAAGCAGCTGGCTACAGTAACTGCTGTCTTTCATAAAGACAGGACACAGCCAATATGCTTCTCCTGCTGTGTTCCCTGCACAGTGAAACAGACTTGCTCTGCAGTAAATTGTCACTAGTAAATTTACAGTCAGTACCCCATCCATGTACTACATAACCTCCAAACTCCTGTAAGAGCTCATAGAAGCTGCTAGCTTCTCAGGAGCAGGTAACTGGCTGTATTTCAGTTCCACATGAGGTAATGGTTCCTGC